CACACACACACACACACACATCAAAGATGCACATGCCTCCAGAGCACACTCCTGAGATATCCCCTGATATGTGCAACCCACAGACATAGACATAATCAAAGTACCTCCTAAAAAGAAGCCCAAACTCTCCTTAAGACCAAGAGAGATTTGCATATACTCCAAGACAGCCCAAGAGAGCTCAGGAAACAACCAGACACTGGCCAACCACACAGAATTGCCCAGAAATAAACAGCTCTGGGACACAGACACACACACACACACGCGCACACACACACACACAGAGTAGTAGTATGTGGCCATGTGCTAGCACACAGACTCAAACACTCCACCTCTGTGCACAGCATGAAGTCAGATTAGAGGACAAGGTCCCTCCTTCCTAGTGGAGAGGGGAGTGAGGGGTGGAGAAGCACTCTGGGATTTCAAAACAATCCTGGTTTCGAAATGCTGGAAATGCTGGATTCAGGGCCATTCCCAGTTGAGAAGGGGGGGAGGGGTGCACAGGCTAACTCTGAGCTGCTAGCTCAAGACCAAGGAGAGAGGTTGGACAGAGTGTGTGTGTGTGTGTGTGTGTGTAGGGGAGGGAGGCTGCCTCTGTGTGTGTGTGTGTGTGTGTGTGTGTGTGTCTCCTGAGCCTATAGAATCGGGCAGAGAAGCCACATTAAGGTGGCAAGTAGCCACTCGGCTTTGACAAAGCCTCACAGAGCCTGGAGCCAGCGAGGGAGCCAGTACTTGGCATAACCAGGAACTGTAGCTTGCCCTCGGGCACGGAGCTGTCTCCCCACCTCCCACCAGGGGGAAAGATGCAGCTGAGAAAAGGACTGGAACTTTCACTGGAGCCCAGCTTTAACCCTCCTCATCCCAGCCCCTCCCCCACTACTGCCCCCCCCACCAGTCTAGGTGCAAGGCTGTTTGCCCCCCCAGGAATCAGGGCAGGCCCCCCCTCTTCTGGGGGGTGGGGGGAGGGGGAAGAGGGAAGGCAAGGCAAAGTGAGGGCAGTAAGCCAGAAAGCCAGGAGGAAGGCGCCCAAAAGACAGAAAAGCCGAGCAGGGGGGTGGGGGGGGCCGGGTAGGCTAAGCCAGGATGGTGCGGCCACTGCAGACAGATGGGGGAGGCCAAGAAGGACGCACGCAAGCACACGGACCCCTCTCACCTCCGGAGAACGTGCTCAGGCTCAGGCTCAAGGGTGTGGTCTGGGATGGGGGCTCCCTGTGGAGAGAGGGTCACAGCTAGAAGCCCCCCTGTGGGCAATCTACGCCCCAGCTCCTCCCAGAACCCAGCCCTCCCCCACCCACCCAAACTTGCACACACATACACGCAGCCTGCAGCTACAGGAAGTCTCTGAGCTGCTCAGAATGCCCCCCCCCCCCAACGCCAGGACTTCTGTGGACTGGCTGGGAGCCAGGCCTGACCCAGCTGCCCCACCACACCACTCCCTCTCCCTGTCCTGGAAGCAGGAAAGGAGAAGGCACTGGAAGACCTCAGAGTTCCCAGATTGCCTGGCCCCACTGGAGGTGGGGGTGGGGGGCAACGGCAGGCCTCCCCCAACCTGGCCAGAGGACCTGGGGAGTGGGAGGCCTGAGGACCCCAGCTTCCCACATCAGGCACCCCGAGGTTATCTTATGTCAGGGAAAAGAATGGCTGTGGTTCTTGTGTGGTCTCCCTGGCTGCAGCCCTGGTCCCCTGAAGACACAAAGTCCCAAGGACTTGGCCTGGGGTAAGGAAGGCTTAGCAGTTCAGTAGCAGGGACTGGGTGAAGCGCCCACAGCAGGCGGGAGGGAGGCTGGTGGCTGGGCTCAGTTTGTACTGGGGGTCAAAGGGGAGTTCTTTTCCGAAGAATTCTGGGAGAGACGCCAACTAGAGCAAGCTGCTAACCACCCCTCCCTCTCTCTCACTGCACTGGGGTTGTGGGGGGGGTCCCTGCCAACCAGACTTAACCCTCTGCAGCCTGTGTTACTTCAGGCCCAGGACAGCACTGGGCTTGAGCTGGATGTAGCTTCCACTGCTAGGAAGGAGGCAGTTACAGAGTGCCCGCCAGAACATGGCTCCATCTGGCCCCGCCCTCTCGCCACCACCTGGGTGACTTTCCTGGACTCATCTACTGAAGGTAGATGAGAGTCTGCAGTGACGTGTGCATGCGTGTCTCAGAGACAGAGATTGAGAAACACAAACTGAAAATTCCTTGCCAAGCCCCTCCTCCTGCTGGGTCACTGAGCGCTGTACCAACCTGTGCCTCTCCCCCTCCCTCCCTTCCACCGGGGACCACAGCCCCCCTCCTGGGGCGGGAGGGGTGTCAAGGGACAACCTAGCCTATGCCCACCTTCTGCGAATCTCCCCAAGCCCTTGACTCCCACAAACTGCCCCTGCCTAGACTCACTCCTTCCTTGATGGCTTCCAGAAGATAGCATTCAACTGGAATGTGAGATCCTAGAAAGGGAAACTGAGTTCTAGGGGGGGAGGGAGTGTCTCAGGGTCTCCCGTCTGTCTGTACAGCCCAGCCCAGTCCTGATCCTCTGAACTCCGCTCTCAGAGAATGCTGTCTAACTGTAGTAGGAGAAAATGAGATTAAATATCAAGAACCACTTCCTGGGACCCGAGGCTGCAGTGGCAGCCGGCCCCACCCCCACGAGCCTGGATTCCAGGCCCCTTCATCTTCTGCTCAGAGTGAAATGATGAGCTCATTTTTTGTTCACTGCTGTTAATCAGAGACCTCAACTTCTTTGAACTTAAACTTTGCCACCAAGCTCCCAGGTCTGATGTGACTAGTTGTTCCTTGTCCCCAAAGAAGCAGATGACAATGGGGGAGGGGATCACTTTCCTTTAGAGCTCTAGATCTTCCTTAACAGCCAGCACTGTCTCTCAGAAAGTGATCTGGCCATGGGGGACCCCTCACCGTGCTGGGGACCCATGAGGAGCAGAGGGGGAAAGCCCAACCCTGGGCAGCAGTTTATCCCAATGTGTCCTCCAGTCCGCCACACTCTCTCTCCAAGGGCTAGGGCTGCCAGAAGCCTTGGCCTTATGCCAGGAAACCTCCCTATCAAAGGGCAGAGGACTCCACGTCCCAGGGAGCCTAGGAGCTGCGGGAAACCTGTGACTACACACCCAGACATGTTCCCAGGAAGGAGGAGGAGGTGAGAGAGATGTAAAGCACCACATGTGCGCCCAAGTGCGCGTGCGCACACGCGCACACACACACACACACACACATCAAAGATGCACATGCCTCCAGAGCACACTCCTGAGATATCCCCTGATATGTGCAACCCACAGACATAGACATAATCAAAGTACCTCCTAAAAAGAAGCCCAAACTCTCCTTAAGACCAAGAGAGATTTGCATATACTCCAAGACAGCCCAAGAGAGCTCAGGAAACAACCAGACACTGGCCAACCACACAGAATTGCCCAGAAATAAACAGCTCTGGGACACAGACACACACACACACACGCGCACACACACACACACAGAGTAGTAGTATGTGGCCATGTGCTAGCACACAGACTCAAACACTCCACCTCTGTGCACAGCATGAAGTCAGATTAGAGGACAAGGTCCCTCCTTCCTAGTGGAGAGGGGAGTGAGGGGTGGAGAAGCACTCTGGGATTTCAAAACAATCCTGGTTTCGAAATGCTGGAAATGCTGGATTCAGGGCCATTCCCAGTTGAGAAGGGGGGGAGGGGTGCACAGGCTAACTCTGAGCTGCTAGCTCAAGACCAAGGAGAGAGGTTGGACAGAGGAAGCCCCAGCCCATGGGGAAAGGGGCCCCAAAAGAGACACCAAGGCAGGAGGCGCAGCCGGCCCAGGGCCAAGCAGGGAAGGCCCAGGCTGCTGGACGGAAGGCAAAGGAGCGTTCCTGGCTGCCTTGTGCCACTACCAGGAATAGAAAGGAGACAGGGAGAGGCCTCCACACCCCTAAGACCTGAGGGTAAGGGGGAACCTGCTCCCCTACCCACTTGTGAGCTGTGGTGACAGCCTTCTGCCTCTGCTTCCCCAGCAGCATTCGGAGTCTGAAGGTGGGCCAAGAGTTAAGAGGTCAGAGAGGATGGGGGACAGCCAAGGGCCTGTAACATTTGGGGGTGGGGGGCGGTCAGGACTGCCCACACTCAGGGCCGGCTGAGGCAGCAACCCCCTGGGAATTCAAGTCTTCTCTCCCCTTCACAGAGATGAGGATCATAGGGGAGACTAAGGCATTGCAACCCCCCCCACACACACACCCAGGAAGTCACCCCTCCCAGGGCAGCCAGAGGGCCCTTGCTGCCCCTCCTCCAACCTCCAGGGAAAGTCGGCCGGGCTCACCAGGGAGAGAGGGAGAGAGGGAGGGAGGTCAGGCCAGGCTGGGGGTGGGGCTCTGGAGGCCTGGCCCTGGCACTCACAGAGGAAATTCCAGGCTGCCTTCGGGGCCGCCCATCCAAATGACAAGCAGCAGCAGCGGCCCTCTTCACCTCATCCCTCTGCTCCCAGCCCCGGCCACCTGGCTCTCGAACCCCGGCTCTGAGACTGGGAGGCCCAGAAAGGAGCAGCTCAGCAATCCCTGGGGAAGATGCTCAGCCCTGCCAGGAGCCCCCCACCTGGTGGTCCCTGGAGCCAATCTGAACCTCTTTATCCCCAGGTCCTGGGATCTGTCCCCACAGTGCAGCTACAGGTGGGCAGCTGTTGGGGCTGGCAGGCAGAGGCACAGATGCCAGGTCAGAGCAGCCAGGCGCTCAACAGGTTGAGCCAGTCCCTGGAGCAAGCGGCCCCACCCCAGGGAGAGCGGGCCTGGCAGCCGCTGCCTGCCCGCGGCGCCCAGCCTGTACCGCTTGGCTCCCACGGCTGCCCACTTTCCCACGGTGCCATCCCCCTTCTGTCCCTTCTCTCAGGTCAGCACCGGGGCAGTGCCCAGGGCTCTAGTACAAGGAAGCAAGGGATGCCATTTTCCCATCATCCTCGAGTGCCCTGGCTCTTGAGGTCCCTCCCTGCCGGCAGCCAGGAAGCCCAGGGAGAGGTAAACGTGGCATAGAGGCAACAGGAACCCCAAAGTGCCTCCCCACAGACACCTTGGCTCCAGGAGCTGCCGAGGGTGCTGGGACCCAACCTCGGCCCACAGTGGCGCCAGAGGCAGGGCCTCCTCTCCCTGGAGGAGCCGTTACAGCGCTGCTTCCATGTGTGCCAAAGTTGTTGCCACCTGCAACCTTGGTGCTTTCCTCCCAACCCCTGGACTCCCCAGGCCCTATCTCAGCCACTCTCCAAAGGCAGGCATACCCCCCCACCCCACCCCACACACAGACACACACACACACACACACACACACACACACACACACACACACGCTGCCTTTTATACAGCAGCCTTTAATCTAAAGCAGGTGCCAGGCATTCCAGCCTTTGCCGAGTGCTGAGTCCACACTGCCACCAGCTAGGCCTCTGCCCAGGAGGCTACTGCCCTGTCTAGTTGTAGGTGAGCCCCCAGCCTAGGGTACCAGGAGCCCGGAGGCAGAAATTAGCTAAATGAAGCCATGGGTGTCCAATGTACCTTCACCAAGTAAGATTACTCGGGCTTAACTTAGCACTGACTAGCCTCTGTGACCCACGAGCACAAGAGTCATCCTAGATCGAAGCTTCTAAGTGTCCTCTCTCTCAACAACCTGCCTCCCAGAATCAACCCCACCCCATCCTAAGCAAGAGTAGCAGCAAGTTAGCTGGGAAGTCAGTAGAGGGAGATGGCCAGTGCTGGCCCAGTCCTCCAAGGAGGTAGATCACCTGAGGAACAGCAGTGCCTCCCACCTTCTTTCCGGTACCAGATCCCTGCTTCCCTCCCCACTCCCTGCCTTCCTCCTCCATTCCCCGTCCCAAGGCTTACAGCAGCAGCAGGGCCTCAGAGCACACACTGGGAGGACACGGCCTGAGCACGCTCTTCCCCTGAGGGCATGAAATCATGGTCTTGACCCAGAGAAGGCAGCCAAGCCCATGCTGGGGGCCAGCAAAGGAACCCCTGCCCCCCCGGAAGTGGCTGCTCCCTAAAAAGACGGAGCAAGGGGGGAGAAGAGGAATGGAACCCACCTCCCCCCCCACACACCCATTGGAGAGCTAGTTGGAGCAGATACAAGGCAGACAGACTTCCCAGGTAAACAGTGCAGCAAGGGAGTAAACTAGAGTGGGGGGAGGGAAAGGAGGAAGAGAGAGGGCAAAGATCAAGGGGGCAGCAGAGTCCCTTTCCCAGGGCTCACAGCCTCCCCAGCTCCCCCTCTTTCAGAATACTTTTCCTCCCGCAGCAGAGGCCCCCTAGACCTGCATAGACACACACCCCAAGTAGCAGACAGTGGGAGGAGGGAGAGAGGGGGTATTAGAAAAACCCGGAAGGAAGGAAGCTGGACAGACAGACAGAAGCTGACCCTGGCCTCATTGCTCCAGGGAGACACCCTCCAAATTCCCAGACTTTGGGGGGAGCCCCTCCTTCTCAGCCCCCCAAGAGGGGGAAGTGGAAATTGGACCTCGGTCCCTCCAGACACCAAATTCCCAGAAGCCTGGGACCTACTCCAGCCAGGCAAGAGGCCTAAACCTCCCTTCTCCTCTCACCTTCTTCCCCCAAGGCCTCCTTCGGACCAAGACAGCAGCCACCTCCTGCCGAGGGAGCAGGGCCACCTCCAATGAACTGTGTGGCTGTCCCACCCCTGGTCCAGCCCCCGCCACCTCAGAAGCCTGGACGGGGGAGGCTCCTCCAGGCTCTGGCAGCTCAGAGGCAAGGCCTGGGGGCAGAGGGTGACCCCCAGATCTCCCCAGTACCGATTCACCTCCTTTTGGAGGCTCCCGTCAGACAGGGGAGGGGGGCTGGGGTGCCAGCCCCCACCGGGTTGGGGAGCCCGGGAAGGGGACTACATCTCCCAGAAGCCCCCAGGGCAGGGTTCGCTGCTCCAGCTGGCCCGAGGCCGGCCTTGTTCTCTGCGCCGGGGTGGCAGGGTCCCCCCGCCGGCCCCGAGCCCTCCTTCCGGGGCTCTGGAACTGCCAACCTGTCTGGGGGCCTGCGAGGAGCCTCCCCCGGCCCTGGGGGGGGGCGTCCCCCGCCCCTCCGACAGCCCGGGCCGCGTGCGCGAGGGCAGGAGACAATCCGGCCGCGTCCCCTCCCCGGCACGCCGCCCCCCCCCGGCCGGCCTGGCGTGACTTTCGCCCTCTCCCCAGCCCTCCCCTCACCTCGCGCGGGCCGGGGGTCCTCACGCCAGGCCGGAGCTGGACGCCATGACCAGGTCAGGTCGGCGGGTGGAGGGGGTCCCCCTCCTGCTGGACGGCCGGAGGTGCGAAGCCGAGGGCGGGCGGGCGGCGATCTTTTGATCCTGGGCGCCTTGAGCTCAAAACCTGCCCGGCCCGGGAGAGGGGATCCGGGGGTCGGCGGGCGCCTGCGGTGCCGCCTCGCCACCGCCGAGCATGGTCGTGGGCGCCGGGCAGCGGCGGGGGA